TAGAAATATCCTTATTAACACTGTTTTATCAGTCAATAAATCCTTAAAAGGTCTTATAATTAAGGATCTTGTGACCTCCTGAACCACACAGTAAAAAGGGGAATGGAACTCACCCTTCCCATCTATGCAGAAAATAAAAAGAAATAAATCACATCATCTAAAAAAAAGGAAAATCCCATTTTAAACCCATTAAAAATTCCTCCCCAAATCCCCATTCTGGCAGAGCAGGGAAGGGACAGCGGATCAAGGGAGGGGGCCCCGGGGTGGGACAATAAATGATGTTTGCAGCGCCAACCAGGGGGAAAATCCCACTGCCAAAATCAGGGGAAAATCCCATTTCCAGCCCCAGGGGGAAAATCCCACTGCCAAAATCAGAGGAAAATCCCATTTCCAGCCCCAGGGGGAAAATCCCACTGCCAAAATCAGAGGAAAATCCCACTGCCAAAGCCGGGGGTGGCAGCTCCGGGAGAGCTCCGGAGGGGATCGGAACTCACCTGGCCGGGGACAGAGCGGGGACATTGGGAGGGACCGGGGATAAAATCCATCCTGGGGACACCGGGAGGGACCGGGGATAAAATCCATCCTGGGGACACCGGGAGGGACCGGGGATAAAATCCATCCTGGGGACACCGGGAGGGACCTGCCGGGGGTAAAACCCAGCTGGGACACCCGGGAGGGATCAGGGATAAAACCCAGCCTGGGGACATTGGGAGGGATCAGGGATAAAACCCAGCCTGGGGACACCGGGAGTGACCGGGGTTAAACCCAGCCCGGGGACATCGGGGAGGGACCTGGCAGGGTATAAAACCCATCTCCAGGGACACCGAGAGACGGGGCTGGGACACGCTCACCTGGCTGCTCTCCCTGGGATGAAAAAGCCAAAGGGATGTAGAGTTTTCTGCTGCTTTTAAGGAGAATTTCTCTTTCCCCTCGGATTTACCTGCACAGGGGATGCACAAGGTGAGCAGCAGTGCAGAGAGAAACAGGGATTTGGGAAGGTTTTGTAGAAACAAGAGAAGTATCAAGGACCGAACCAGGGATTTGGGAATGTTTCAGTGCAGACAAGAGAAGTAACAAGGGCTGAACCAGGGATTTGGGAATGTTCAGTGCAGACAAGGGAAGTATCAAGGACTGAACCAGGGATTTGGGAATGTTCAGTGCAGACAAGAGAAGTAGCAAGGGCTGAACCAGGGGCTCCTGCACCTCTCTGCTCCAGGATTATTTTCAGCCCAGGCAGAGAGGGAATTGCAGCTGCCTAACGCAGGGTTAGTGTGACAGGGGACAGGTGACAGCTGACAACCTGCCCTGGTGTTGGGGACTGCTGGAGGAGGCACATCCAGCCCCGCAGCCAGGGGCAGAGGAGCTGCAGCTCAGGAGAAACAGGGAAGGGGACAGCAGGACATCAGAGAGGAGCCTTGGAGCTCTGTGCTCCTGCAGAGGCTCCCGGAGGGATGGAGCCAGGCTGGGGCTGGAACAGCTCCCACCAGAGCCCACCTGGGCACGGCCAGGGGCTGCTGCGCCTGGCAGGGGACCCCAACCTGACGGTGCTGCACACCCGGGACGAGGAGCTGGCCAAGGCCGAGGTCGGGGTGCTGGGCACCATCCTGGCCGTGGCCACCGTGGGCAACCTGGGCGTGCTGCTGGCCATGTACCGGCTGAGGAGGAAGATGAGCCGCATGCACCTCTTCATCCTGCACCTGGGGCTGAGCGACCTGGGCGTGGCGCTGTTCCAGGTGCTGCCGCAGCTCCTCTGGAAGGTCACCTACCGCTTCCTGGGGCCCGACCCGCTCTGCAGGGCCGTCAAGTACCTGCAGGTGCTCAGCATGTACGCCTCCACCTACATGCTGATGGTGATGACCCTGGACCGCTACCTGGCCGTGTGCCGCCCGCTGCAGTCGCTGCAGCAGCCCAGCCGCCAGGCCTACGCCATGATCGGGGCCACCTGGCTGCTCAGCTGCCTGCTCAGCCTGCCCCAGGTCTTCATCTTCTCGCTGCGGGAGGTGCGCCCGGGCTCGGGGGTGCTGGACTGCTGGGCGGATTTTGGGTACCCGTGGGGAGCGCGCGCTTACATCACCTGGACCACGCTGTGCGTCTTCGTGCTGCCCGTGGGCGTCCTCAGCGTCTGCTACAGCCTCATCTGCCACGAGATCTGCAAGAACCTCAAGGGCAAGACCCAGAGCGGTGCCCCTGGCTCGGGGGGAGCCGCGGCCGCCGCCGGCCCCGGGCAGCCCTCGCGGGTGAGCAGCGTGCGCACCATCTCCCGCGCCAAGATCCGCACGGTGAAGATGACCTTCGTCATCGTGGCCGCCTATGTCACCTGCTGGGCGCCCTTCTTCAGCGTGCAGATGTGGTCAGTGTGGGACCAGGATGCTCCTGATGATGGTGAGTGGTGAAGGGACTGAGGCACGGAGCCCTGGGGACATCAGGAATTCAGTTGGGTTTTTAACAAATAAGAGCTGTCTGTTGTCTTGTCATTTAAAAATAAAAATCATGGGGAAGGCTACAAGTTTTTTCCCCTGTAATGCTTATAAAATACAAGTTTCAGAGCCAAATCATTCCTTCCACTGGAAAAAAATACTGAAAAGTGATTTCTGGCCATCATCCATAGTGATGTGCAAAGACATCCTTGCCACGTGTCTTTCCTCTCCTCTGGGAATTTTCAGAGGTTTCAGAAGTGGATTTCTGAGTTGAGTATGTTGAATGTTTTTTCCTGTAAATCTTCAGTAGTTTTCCTAACACTGAAGTAGTATTGCTAGTGCTGCTGCTAGAAAAAGGGACTTCACCCAAGACTGGAAGTCCTCTGGGAGATGCTTTGGGCAGCAGAGAGGCTGAAGGAAAGCCCAGAAGCTGCTGGGTCTCCCCTCTCAGAAGACGTGTCCAGCACATTGGCACTGCCAATGGAGGGTAGAGCCTGGCACTGCCAGCTTTCCATCCCCCAGGAATGCCAGTGGGATGGGAATGTGAGCCAGGAGAGCCCCCAGCTCCTGCCCAGCCCCTGGGGATGTTTCATCTCTCTCTTGCCTTGCCAGAGTCCTCCAACGTGGCTTTCAGCATCACCATGCTGCTGGCCAGCCTCAGCAGCTGCTGCAACCCCTGGATCTACCTGTTCTTCAGCGGGCACCTCCTGCAGGACGCCGGGCACTGCCAGGGCTGCTGGGGCCGCCCCCGGGCCGGGCTGCACAGAGCCAACTCCACGGGGAGCCTGTGCAGCAGGAAAACCACCGTCCTGAGCCACAGCCACCAGGGCCACCAGGAGCACCAGGGACACCAGGAGCACCGGGAGCACCGGGAGCACCAGGCCGGGCTGCCCCTGCACGGGGACAGCGTCAGGGAGCTGTACCCGCCCTGCGATGAGGGTGTGACAGAGGCGGGCATGCTCTAGGCTGTGACACTGCCAGGTGTGCCAGGTGTGCCACTGCCAGCCAGGTGTGACACTGCCAGGTGTGGCACTGCCAGCCAGCTGTGACACCACCAGGTGTGCCTGGTGTGCCACTGCCAGGTGTGCCAGGTGTGGCACTGCCAGCCAGCTGTGACACAGCCAGGTGTGCCTGGTGTGCCACTGCCAGGTGTGCCAGGTGTGGCACTGCCAGCCAGGTGTGACACCACCAGGTGTGCCAGGTGTGGCACTGCCAGCCAGCTGTGACACTGCCAGGTGTGGCACTGCCAGCCAGGTGTGACACTGCCAGGTGTGGCACTGCCAGCCAGCTGTGACACCACCAGGTGTGCCAGGTGAGACACTGCCAGGTGAGACATCACCCACCCTGTTGCTGCAGAGCGCGGCTCTCCCCACCTGGTGGCACTTCGGGAGCAGGGGATACTGAATCTCCGGGAACAGGGAATCCTGAATCTTTGGGATCAGGGAATCCTGCACCCTTCAGGAACAGGGGATCCTGAATCTCTGGGAACAGGGAATCCTGAATCTTTGGGATCAGGGGATCCTGCACCCTTCAGGATCAGGGGATCCTGAATCTCTGGGAACAGGGAATCCTGAATCTTTGGGATCAGGGGATCCTGCACCATTCAGGAAGGGATCCTGGATCTTCGGGATCAGGGGATCCTGAATCTTCGGGATCAGGGGATCCTGAATCTTTGGGATCAGGGGATCCTATCCTGAATCTTCGGGATCAGGGGATCCTGAATCTTTGGGATCAGGGGATCCTGCACCCTTCAGGAGCAAAGGATCCTGCACCCTTCGGGATCAGGGGTTCCTGCATCCTTTGGAATCAGGGGATCCTGCATCCTTCGGGAACAGAGGATCCTGCATCCTTCGGGAACAGGGGATGCTGCATCCACCAAATCCTCCTGGAGCGACCGGAGTTTTCGTTCCCAGCTGCCAGCAAAGCAGCCGGAGCACGGCAGGCGGCAACGCGCCTCCATCTGCTGCGGAGCTCGCCGCCGCTTCCTCCCCTCGCATCCTCGGGGCGTTGCTGGCCGAGCAGACCGCGGGGCCAGAGCTGTGCCCCGCGGGGCTGCAGAGCTCCTCTGGCCCGGCACTGCCCCCGGGGCTGTCGCGTCCCCCCGTGCTGGGCTCAGCTGTCCCCGCTGTGCCCGCTGGAGCGCCCCAAACGCGGCACTGGCACCGCCGAGGAGCCGCTGGCCCTGCTCCAGCTCAGCCGGGCACATCCTGACTGCCCCGTGTTCTCTCCCCATCAGCTCCGCTCCCAGCCCCATCCCGTGCCCTGACTGCCCCCGTGCCCTGACTGCCCCGTGCCCTGACTGCCCCGTGCCCTCTCCCCATCAGCTCCACTCCCAGCCCCACCCCGTGCCCAGCGTCTGCCGCATCCCAGGGATGCTCCCACCCTGCTGCTGCTGCTGCTTTTGGCTGATTTTGCAGGAGCAGGGGCCCAAAACCACCCCGGGCTCGGGGAGCAGGGAACTCGGTCCTCCTGCAGGCCCAGCCTGGCCCCTGCCCTGCTCCCAGGAGATGTGCAGGAATAAATCATGGATAAGGCAGGAAAGAGCATCCATTAGCTCAGTGGAGCTCAAGAGCTGCCGAGGGTGATGTACAGGTGTCCAGCGAAGGTTCCAAATTCCCTGCCAGCCAGGGGCATTATTCCTTTCACTATCACAGGCTAAAGCTGGCAAAATAAAACAGTAAGAGTAAAATATTTTGAAATCTTCAATATTTTCACTTTTTAAGTGCCAGGCATTTGAATCAGATTTCTCAGAAGCTTACACTCAGTGGTTTTGGCCTCACCTCCACTCTCACAATCACACCTCTCCTGGGCTTTCCAACGTTACCCAGGAATTGTTGGGGTTTTTGGAACATTTTCCTTTACGTGCCCTTAGAGCTGGGCCAGATCAGCACCACAAGGTCATGAAAGCAGGAGTGCCTGGCTCCCCCTGCCACTGATCAATCCCAAATCAATCGTCTCACAACCTTTCATTAAATCCCACTGTCGCTGAACCCATTTAAAACACACTTGGGGCAGCTCCAGCCCTGAGGAAGGGGAGGCAGCAGCTCCATCCCTCCCAGTGCTGGGAGGCAGCAGCTCCATCCCCCTCACAGAGGCAGTGTTCCCATTCCCAGGCACTCTGGAAGTTTATTTCTTGAAAATTCAGAAGTAACAAAATGCAGAGTGAGGAGCAGGGACAGGGTCAGGTGGGGAGAGACCGACACCAGCACCTGGAGCAGGGACAGAGCAGGGAAAGCAAAAGGTGGGAGACAGGGAGAGCGAAAAGCCAGTGGAAAAACTGTATTTTAAATGATTTTGTGAGGCTGATGAGCAAAACAACATCACTGAGAGGAGCTGCCAGCCAGCTCAGTGCAGGTTTTGAGGATCACTGCATCTCCCTCCCTGAACTGCCCATTTTGAGAGGCAAAGGGGGGGATGTTCATTTTGCTTTCATGAAACGAGGGAAAAAGGGCCATGACACAGAAGTGGAGAGCTGATTCCAGCCTGGCTGGGAGGAGCCCTCCCCTGCCCCACCCCACAGCCCTCAGGAACAGTGGAGGCTTTAAGGAAAAGCCAAGGAAGCTTTGTGGGTGCGGGTGGCACAAGCGCTGCAGCCCGTGCCAGGCAGTGCCCCAGGGGAAGGGGACAGTGCCAGCTGTGCAGCTGCTGGGGGCTCCGGGCACCTCTGAGCAGCAGCACCCTGGTGTGGCAGCTTCACCCTGGTGTGGCATCTTCACCCTGGTGTGGCATCTTCACCCTGGTGTGGCAGCTTCACCCTGGTGTGGCAGCTTCACCCTGGTGTGGCAGCTTCACATCAGTGTCACAGCTTCACATCAGTGTCACAGCTTCACCTCGGTGTACTCCACACCCTTGGATGCCCTGGGGCTGGAGAAGGGCCAGAAATGTGTTTTCCTCTTCTTCGGGTCCACGTTGACATAATCCATCCCAGACTTCATGTTCTCGTAGTCCTGGGCAGAGCCTGGCTCGTGGCCTTTCTCTGGGAACACCAGGGATGTGTAATTAATGTTTTCCTCTAAGCCAGGGCCCTGCAGGAGCAAAACAAAGCCCAGGTCAGGCCCCAGCACCCAGCCAGGAGCCTTTGCCCTTAAACCCATGCACCAGTTCAGGGGATCATGGAATGGGTTGGGTTGGAAGGGACTTTAAAGCCCACCCCATCCCCCCTACCATGGCAGGGACACCTTCAGGCTGCTCCAAACCCCATCCAGCCTGGCCCTGGGCACTGCCAGGGATCCAGGGGCAGCCACAGCTGTGCCAGGGCCTCTCCATCCTCAGAGAAAAGATTTTGTTTCCTAATTTTCCTAAAGTGCCCAGGGATGTTTCCCTCTGAACAGGGGACACTGGAATGCTGCGTGTGACAGGGGACAACAACCACCTCAGCCCTTATTTATGGAATTTCAATGTGCTTTGGTGGATTTGCCCCTCCTGATGCTGCTCTGGGGGTCTCAAGATGCACACAGCACCAGGTGGGCTGGGGATGATTTTGCCTGTGGTACCTGAGGGCAGGAAGGGTTGTCCGAGTCCTCCGAGGTGTCTGAAGATGTGTCACTGCTCCCTTAAAAACAGGAAACATTTACCACCCCAGAACTTCCCAGAGGGATAAAGGGGAAAAGGGATCATGGGAGGAAAAGCAAACACGCTCAGAAGTGAAAATTCTGATCCACAAAGCATCAGTGTGATCCCTCCCAGCCTCACTTCCCTGGGAGAAAGGGGGCAGGCAGCAATGGGAAGAGGAGGCAGCTCCTGCTTGACCCTTCACCCACCCCTGCTTCCACTCCCGGGCTGTCCAGAGCTCGTGAGGAAGAGACATCACACAAATGCCACCCAAAAATTCCCATCCCTGTGCCAGGACAATGCCCCATTGCTGCAGAGCCCCTTACCTGCGTAGGCTGCTGATGGTTTTTGTGCCCCGGGGTGTTTCTGTGCCGTGTCCCCTCCCGGAGCTGGGCTGGGGTGAGGGCTGGGATGCTCCCCAGGGCTGCTGCTCCCCTGCATCCTGCAGGAATGCTGGGCTGCGAGCAAGAGGAGAGTGAGCCCTGCTGCCTGCTGTGCCCAGCACGCCCCAGCCCCAGGGCAAACCAGCCCTCCCCAAAATAAAGATTGCTGTGCTCTGGAGCAGGCTCATTTCCATCAAATCAATCCCTGAGATCACCCAGGGCCCTGTTCTCCCACCAGGAGAGGCTCCAGTGACAAATCACAGGGTCAGGGCCTCTTCTTGCAAGTTTGGAATGATTTTGACCCAAAGCAGAGCCAGGCTCACTGCAAATGTGAGCAGCAGTTGGTGTGAAAGAATTCCCTGCTAGAAATTGCAGCTTCATCTGAATTAATACTCTGTGAGCTGATTCTTGGTGTTTCCCCAGCACTTTACTAAAAGAGCAATAAAAGAAAACAGTTTTGAAGCAGCACAAGGTTGTACAAAGCTCACCGGTGTGTACAACCATGTCACCCATGTCACCACAGCTCCCAGCCAGCCCAGCCCAGCCCTGCCCCTTTCCCATCCCACACCCAACCCCAAACCAGGAAATCACCAGGGAAAGCCATTTTTTAATTACCAATTTTCCTGCTGAGCATGGTGTAAAGGGCCAGCAAGAGGAGAGGGTAGAGTATCAAGGTGCCAAGTGAGGTGGCAGCAGGAATCCAGCTGGACGAGAGAAAACCATTCAGTCTCACTGAAATCACCAAATTCTTTTCAATCCCCCCATGGCTTCAAGGCACATTTTAGGTTTGCTGGTAGCTTTCGGTTTTGCTTTTTGATTTTGGGGTGACGTGGCCCAAAACGTGGGGCTTGGTTTTCAGGAATGATTTGAGTTCCCTGCCCCTCATTTTTAGGGCCTATCCCCAAAAAGGTTTTCAAAAGCCTCCAGCGGGGGAATGTGGTGCTGGAGGAGAGAGAGGCACGACAGATATGATGGAATTATAGAATTGTGGAATGATGGAATGGGCTGGGTGGGGAGGGACCTTTGAAGGTCACCCCCTGCCATGAGCAGGGACATTTCCAGCCAGACCAGGTTGCTCAGAGCCCCATCCAGCCTGGCCTGGGGTGGAATTATAGAATTGTGGAGTGATGGAATGGGCTGGGTGGGGAGGGACCCTCAAAAGTCACCCCCTGCCATGAGCAGGGACATTTCCAGCCAGACCAGGCTGCTCAGAGCCCCGTCCAGCCTGGCCTGGGGTGGTCCCAGGGGTGCTGTGAAGGGCTCTGTGCCCCGGGGTGCTGCACTCACCATGCACAAAAGCTCATCCTCCTGCTGAGGCGTCTCCAGGGCCTGGGGGGACACAGAGAGGCAGCAGGACCTGGTGGCAAGCAGAAAAATGGTCCCATTGAGCCTCACGCTGCTCCACACGAGCTGGAGATCAGGCTCAGCACTTGGAAGCAGAGGTTGCATGTTGCAGATGTGAAATAAAGGGTTTTTATTTTATCCCAGCCCTCCCCCTGTGAGAATCCCTCTGGTTCACACCATCACAGAGGCACAGGCTGTCCCTTATCACTGAATTAATGGCTTTATACAAGCTCGTATCTGAGACTTGTCTGGACTTTCTGGGTCCCACCGCAACAGAATTGAAATTTGTTCTCCTTGCTTTAATACTCTCTCGTGGTGCATTTTGTTTTATTTTCTTTTTCTCTTTTTAACCCACCAAAAAAAAAAAGAAATAAAAAGACGAAAACTACAAGATGAAGAAAAAAAATTCATGGAAAAAGTAACCAAAGGAAGGTCACGGGTTGGTGTGAGACTCTTGCTCNCAGAGGTGCTGCAACACCTCAGTGTCTGAAACACCTCGGATTTAATACTGTGAGAGCTTCAATCCTGGTGAGGTTAAGAGGGTTTAAGTCAGAAAATCAGAAATCACCAATGCCTGGGCTGGGCCCCTTGGCTTGGGATTTCTGGCCATAACACTCAAGAGATTTACAATAAAAGATAGGGGTGTTCATTTTGTAAAAATAGCAGTGAGGTGTGCCTTTTGTGAGCTTTCACTTGCAAAAAAGCACTTTAAATCCTCCCTCAGTGTGATACACTTGCTATTTATAAATGGCTGATAGGGAGACATCTTCAGCTGAGGCTTTAATACAGTGATTAAAGCAGCCATGATAATTTGATTGATAGGCTGATGGATAAATTGATAGAGCAAAGGCATTATCCATCCTGTGGAGCAGATTCTATCATTTCCTCTATGACACATTTCTGAGCTTAATTCATCAAAAGCTTTCCTGATAACCACCAATCTCCTGCAAAATTCCACTCATGCAAACAGTCTGATGACTGCCAAGCTGAAAGTTCATTTCTTGCAGAAATTTTCCCCCTCCCTTACTGAATAAATCTGTCCCTAAATATCCTTCTCAACAAGCTGCCACTCTCAAAAGGCTCATTTCCTACTGTGGGGCAGGAGATGCTGCTGCAGCAACAGATAAGGATCTGAAAAATGAGCTGTTCAAAAGGAAATTGCAAAATAAACCCCAAATCCAACTATCAGCAGCTTCTGTGCCGAGGTGGCTCCGACAAGATGGAGGCGCAGATAGCGGGTGGGTATCAAAAAATCTGATTTGAGACAGCAGCCAGTGAGAGCCTGGCACCAAATGTGCTTTTCTGGGGGGCCTCAGGGAACTTCTGTGAGCCAGCAGCCTCCAAGATTTCAACCCTTTCTCAAGAAAATGCTGAAATCAAGGCTTGCAGGGAGCTGCTCCTAGGCCGGGCAGCGAGCGTCAACCTGAGGCTAAATGTGAGTGAAAGCTCCAGAATGCCCCAAATGATTTTAATCCCACTTGAGCCAGGCCCAGCTGGCTCACGGAGGCTCAGGATGGCACCAGCACATGCCAGGGGGATTCCCAGCCCAGCTCTCTCCTGCTGTTCCACCCTCTGCTCCTGTGCCATCGCACCCCCAGCGCGGTGCCCAGCGCCGGCTTACCTGGGCTCGGCTTTCCAACCTTCCCTTCCCCTCCCCACGGCTCAGGGCGGCTGGGGCTGTGCAGGCAGCAGGATTTGGGGCTGTTTCAGCAGGATCTGGGGAGGTTTCAGCAGGATTTGGGGCCGTTTCAGCAGGATTTGGGTGCAGAGCGGGGTCTGGCAGCGCGGCGGTGCCGGATGCGGTCACGCTCTACCCCCAGGTCAGAGGCACCGAGGAGCCCACACGAGTCCCATGACACCTCCCCTCTGCCAGCGGCCTCATTTTAATATATTGGGGTGTTTCTCTGCTCTTCTGCAGCTGTTTTGCTCCTGCAACCCTCCATCAATTCTCTTCCAGCAGCTTTGTCCCAAAATTCGGCTGAGCTTCCTTGGAGCCAAGCGGTGCTGGGGGAGCTGTGCCCAGCTCAGCTCAGCTGCCACCCAAAACAACCTCTGGGTGCTTCCAAGCAATCATTTTCCACGGGGATGAAGCATTTTAACATCACCTGGCTCCATGGCTGCTGGGGCTGGGTGGGCCTCCACCTGCCCACACTCTGGAAAATGTTCTGCAAGCTTTGGGGTGCAAGCAGCAGCCTGGCAGATCCCAACCTGAGAGTTCCCCAGAGGTTTGGCTGCTGCTTCATAGGAACTGGGGGGTTTGTAGCCCTGGAGGTGCCCCGGCAGAAAGGAACAAGAAATTCCCTTTTTGTCAAGGTGCCTGACTCATGGGGACGGTGCCTGCTTGCCTTTCAACATCTCAGCCCACAGCAATCCTGTCCCAGGGATGGAACATCCCAAAGGATCCCCCTGGATTAGCTAAAAGCAAAATGAGGATTTCAAAAGCATCACCTACCCCTGGAGCTGCATCACAAGTTGGGGTCACTTCCTAAATTCCTGCTCCCACCATCCACCAGCTCCATCGTCAGAGGTTGGTCCTGCTCTCCTCACAGCTGCTGCACCCCAGGTAAATATTTTGGGGTTTATTTAACCGAAACTTGCTTGTTTGTTGATTTTTTTTTTCAGGTGAGACTTTGCTGCTGCAGCGCTTTCAAGTGCTCGGTGGTGGATAAGCAGATTAACAGGTGGGAGAAGTGTCTGATAAAGGCAGGAAAAAAGGGTTTTTTACAAAACACTGCTGGGGCACAGTGTGAATCAGCCAGGGCAGTGGCTCCACTAAAGGAAATGTGTAAGAAGGAACACAGATAACACGTTTTTAGCCTGAGAACAGGTTTTTTAAACAAGGAAAGTGCTTCACACACAGCTGGTGAGAGGTATTTTTTTTCATCCAAGGGGAAAAATCTAATTTTGATCCAACTGTGTGGGCCTGGAGGGGTGGGACAGAGCTGGGGACAGCCCTGCCTGGCAGAGGCCATTCCTTTCTGACCAGACAAATATTGCAGGAGCTGGGGTCACATTTCCTCAATTTCTCCAGCACAGGCTGGTCCTGCCAAGCTGAGGGACACCAAGGCTTGGAAATTGGGCATCTCTTCCCTCTGCATGGTACAGCTGGAATATGTATGAAACAAAGCCTTTTTGACCCAATTTTCTGTGCAAATCCAGCCCAGTTGCTCCCAAAACACAGAGAATAAATAACCCCACTACTTTGTTCTACTTGAATTAACAATTTTGAAGTGGCCCTACGAGTTGAACTTTAAAATTGCTTCTAAAATAACTCAAAAGTCAAAATAGATTTGCTTAGCTGCAAAAATTTCTAAATGAAAGGTCTGGCCTTGTTATGACTTTCATCTTCCTATTTTAATGCTGAATCCGCTGCCAGGAGGTTGCAGATTATGATGATCCAATTGGGGGATATTTTCCACAAAATAAACTATTTCACTTAAAGTGTTTGGCGTGTCTGTGCTGCTGCTCACCCTCACTTTTATCTCCAAAGCCCAGTGACCCTCCAGGCTGGTTTTCTGATAGGATTTTTGGGTTATAAACCATGTCTGGAACAATCCACTTGCTGTTTTCAGCTTATCTGGCACTTGCTGCAGCTGCTTTTGTTTTAGGAAGTTTCTTTCTAATCCATGAATATGTGATTAGGACAAGGAGGGAGGGTGGTACATTAAACTGCATCTCAAAAGGGAAAATAGAGAATAAATTTCTATAAAAGCCACTCAGTAAAAAAAAAATATTGCAGCATGGGGGAGTGCAGGGAATTTTCATTCGTTTTTGAAAAAGCAGCTGCATTTGCCATCGGCATCAACTGTGCTGTGCCCAACATTTTCCTGCTCACATCGAGAAATATTTGATGGATTTTTTTAAAGCTTAATCTGCCCGCAAAGCTGGGGAGAGGAGGGGCCTGGCAGCATCTCCAGGGATGGGGACACAAGATCCCGGTGACAGCAGGACGTGACTCAGCTGTCCCCAGCCACCCTGGGTACCTGTGCCTCACAGATGAGGACTTTAATTTCCTGGGTGAGGGCTTTAATTAGATAAAATAGAATTCGATAAAACAGGCTCGCTGAGACAAACAAAAAATTGATTAGCACGGTGCTAAACCCTGTTAATCACGTGAATGGGGCCGGCTGAGAACCTTTAGCACATCGGTTCTTTTAGTGCCAAAACCACGGAAAAGAAGGACAATATGGAAAATAAGGGCCTGGGAGATGGAGGCAGGAAAATCCTCACCTGCCCCCACTTGCTGCCCTCACTCACCTCCCCCATGTCTGAAGGTTTTATTTGTTCGTCAGCATTTTCTGTTTGCACTCGCTGAGGCTTTAATGAGACACCCGTGCTGGAGAAAACAAAACTGCCAGGGGACGAGCCCATCGGGGCCTGCCGAGCAAGGGGAGCTGTCTCCCATGGCAAGCTGCTCCTTCCCAGCCTTTGCAAGGGCAAACTGAGCATTCCCGAGCTGTTCATCACTGCTAATTAGTCTTTGACTATTCCAATGAGCTCGCTGGCTGATGGTACAAACACATCCCTTTCGTGCAGCTGCTGGGATTTGGGGCACCCCAGGGCCACTGGCAGCGCCCTGGGGTGGGGCTGGGGAGTGAAGGAGAAGGGAAATGTTCTTCTAAAGCCTTTTGGGGGGTTTCCACCAGTCGGATAAGGTGCTGGGATGGGCACTGGCACCAGGATGGGGACCCCGGTCTGCTCCCTCTGCGGGATCTCCAAAATCAGCCCGGCACCCACAGGCCCCCAGCGCCGTCCTCACCCAGAAAAGCAAACGTGACCCCGGAGCGCCCGCTCAGCCTCGCCTGGGCCGTGGCCAGTGATTCACTGAGGGCGCCCGAGCCCGGTGTTGACTCTGGCAGGGCCATTATCGAGCCTGGCACCGCGGGTATAAGAGCGGCACCGCGGCGGGCGCGGGCACCGAGCCACGCCATGAGGCGCCTGCTGCTCCTCGCCGCGCTCTGCCTGGGCCTGGCCGGCGCCCTGAGGAGGTAAGGGGGTCCCCAGGGTGCCAGGGATTCACTGCCAGGGCGGTGACGGGTGGCAGAGCTCAGCTGGGCACCCCGCGGCTGTGCCGGAGCGGTGGCACCACGCTGGGATTTCCGGGGTGTCCATCCCTCTGGGCAGAGCCTGGCGGCAGCAGGAGCGGCTGTGAGGGGATTTGTGCAGGCAGGGAGGGCAGAGAAAGCCAGGCTGGATTCCCCTTGGCACAAAAGTCCTTCCCCTCGGTGGCACCGAGCTGCCCCTGCTGCCAGTGCCAGGGCCTGGGCGCTCTCCTGCCATTCCTGCGCCCCAAAACACAGCCAGTGCCCCTCTTCTGCTGGGCCTCGGCTGGAAATGGCTGCGGGGGGCATGTGGGTGCTGAACCCCCATCCTGGCAGTGCCAGGACCCTCAG